ATATATTGCTTGCCTTTATTCACTTACATCAAAAAGTCACTTCATTTTCCATGAATAATAAAAAATTCATTCTCTTATGAGCTGCTCTAGGCACGGTGTGAACTGATGACGTAATGGTCTGTATCAGTTATGTTGCATTTGACCAAAATTTCTCCTTGTGTAGAACAAATTCCCGAATATTGAGTTCGGCTAAAGATTTTAATAGCTTCATTCTATGAATTTGCAGGTTATTCAATCCTGTCCTAGACTTATTTCGTACAAAAACAAATTCCGAAGAAGAAAATTGCTTATAGAATAAACAAACTGAAATATCGTTCTGTAGCAAAACTTTGTAAAAGTGCGATTTTAGTGTGTGTGTGACCGAAGAAATTGCTGGATTTTGGGTGAAATTATAACGATATACTGCAATAATTGTGGTGATTGCTGGCTTATGAAGGCAAAAAGCAGCATCGCATCAAATTATGAGATTAGACGTGATTATCTTGGAGATTTGATCATTTTGCAACATTTCGATTTGTATTCATTGGTCATACATTAACGTTTTTCTGTAATATCGATGATACATAAGTATTCACGTTTATATTGCCTTTTTTAGGGGGGAATAGATGTTACAGATGAGGTGATGTTGATAATGACGAGTGTTCTGTGAATTCAAAATGTTTTAAGCCAAACAGTTTCTGGGAGGCAAAACATCATGTTGCATTTTGGGGCGATATTCCCACCGTTTAAATAAATATTTTGAAACAATTTTACATTGAGCAATACATAAATTGAACAACGGACGATTCATTGCATCGAAGAAAACAATTACTTTCATGTTGAAACAATTATTCTTCTATTTTTTTCAAAATATAATCTCCATTTTTGTTCATATATATGTACATCAATATTTAAATCAACGATATTTCATCTTATGAATTATGTTTCACTATCTGCACGTGCAACTGCTCTTTTTGGCATCAGTTTTCGAACTTCCGAGTTTCCGACTGTTTCCAAACTCAGTGGTTATAGCTCAGTAATGAATTACTTCCTCTTTCTTTTGTTTGTTTTTTTCAACTATCGCCAAATTTTCGAGTTCTACTTCGGAGTGTTTCAAGTAGTTCTGGCTGGAAGTTTCTCAAATGCAGTTATTCTTCTCAGAAAAATTTATTTTAATGCATTCATTTACTAGGCAATATTTTTGCAGTGATCGTATTTCTGCAAAAGTTGATAATTTTGATATAAACGTCAATCATCTGATGGAGTAACATCTATACGATAACGTTACACACTTATGTGCATAGATAATCGTTTCGAAGATTCATTCACAATTCTTAAGCTGTTACTTCAAAAGAAAACTTGGATGATATGCGACACGACAAAGATCACATTTCCAGATCGACTATTAATCATATGTGTGATTACATCGTCTTGGATATTTTTGCAGAATACTTCCACTGGAGCGAAATATTGTAAACAAATAAATAAAACCTTTTGAATGTAAATAATCTACGATCATCTGTGATCAATAAATCGCTCGTTGCAATGCTATTAGATTGAGATTTATGAACGAACCCAGAGATCAGCCTCATTGACGTTGCATTCTTGCGAAATCTCTCTTGAGATTTCGCAAGTCTCATTTGACTTATGCAAAAAGGATGATGGATAACATAACGTACACATAGTGTGTTGAGGGGATGAGGAAACCATGGACGTAATTTTCAGCACTCCTTCAGATGATGAAGAAATAGTTTTTTTTGTCCATTGTATATACAAAATAGACGTACATAGTATATAGATTTGAATTCATGCCTTTATTCAAATCTTGTATATATANTATATATAAAAATTTTGTATATACAAAATAGACGTATATAGATTTGAATAAAGGCATGAATTTCTTTTGATTTCTTTGGTTTGTTTTTTCGAATTCGAATATTTCTTTCTAGTTTCAAGCATCATCACTACAATACAAACTATGCTTGCGCTATATATCAATATTTATGCAAACAAACCCAAACACACACACATCACGATCCAATGTTGATCGAATTATGCATTGTACGTACCACAGCATTCGTATAAAATTTTGATTTCGGATGATTACTGGCGTTGATTCGTCACAAATCATATTTCTTACATTATTGTGCACACCTGTACAGGTAGGTAGGTTGTTCATTTCTCGCTGTCGTCATCTTCTCACTTTTCTTACTTCGATCATTCATCAAATCACTATTGCTATTGTTCGCCTGTCTGCTAGGCACGTGATCATCACGGAACCTTCTCTGTGGACACCAGCGCTTTTACTAAGAAACTGGAGTACGTTTTCTCGAGAGATTCACTGAAAAACTGCGCTCATATGATTATCACGACGAATACTCCTCTGCTGCTTAAGCATCACTAGTATCTATGAATCTACTTCAGCTATTAGCATCTACTCCAACCATTTTGATTGCTCATCAGTATTGTGTTATTGTTCGCTTGGTCATCCGGGAATCTTCTCTTCTTCGTGGGGACCTTCGCTTTAGCTGGGAAACTGGAGTATCAGCGAGCAAATTGCTCGTACATTAGGACAGTTATACAGCAATAGTACTATCCATTAAGGTTGTTAAACTTTAGTTTAATGCACACTTCCTCATAATAAGCTGTAAGTTTCATCGTAATTTCTCAACTATTGAAAGCGAATGTTGAATCATTTGTGGTCATCGTTTGTGAAAGAGTTGAACATTTTTGCTTAGTTTTACTAAAAATGAATACCTGTGAGATTGTCTTGTGTAGTTTGATTGTATTGCATGAAGAAAGAAGGAAAATATTGGAAACCAATTTCATTAAATAAAAGCGTTTATGAGTGTTGGAATCATTCAGCAACTCATTATCCATTATCCATGACAAGTGACCGTAATGATCATAACATCGATGGTTCTGTCGAATAAATTTTTCCGAAAAATGCATCGTTTTTTCGTGCAAACGTCGATGACGCACGCTGCTATTCACATTGTAATATATCACGGACAGTCATGAAATATTCTATTCGAGCAGAATATGTTTATGTGCATTTTTTATCTGAGATAATGATGATACGTTACAGTGTATCATTAAAATGAAGCATCTTTTTGCACCCTAAAAAACAGTCAGTTTTCAAAAATTCAGCGCATTTTTCGTTTAAAATATATCTGTCAGCATTCATCTTTGATCGTTTCGAACAAGTGTATTATGGTTGAAGCCAAATATGAAATTGGTCACTTCAATCGCGTTCAATATTCGCTAGCAAATGGACGAGCGATCGTGATCCTGTTCCCGTCTGAATGCTTCAGAATTGACGATTTTTGTGAAGTTTTCACGTGATGCGTCATGATAAACGTTGATGAAGATTCTTTGATTATAGGTCAGAGCCATATGTCGAGAGTGAACATTTTCAAGCAGCTTGATCAAAGCAATCGAGCCAGGTGAGTAATTGTGAATTATAGTTTGAATAGCAAACGGCGATTAGGGCACATTTAGTTCGAATAATGTAGTACTATTCTGATGTATTATTGCTTTCATGTTGTATTATATTNTGTTCAGTGCAAATCGCTCGGCTATACTCTTTTCCATGCGATAGCTGTAGGTATTAAAACATTTCATAAGCGAACCACTCTGATCACTTTCTCTGATAACTGTTATCGTCATGAAATCGCGTCTATGTGATATTCACACATCACTTTAGCCAACTGAAATTCCTTAATCAATCACAAATGAAAGCTTATGAGGAGAATCATATTTCATTGGTAGCATCAAGAGGATTGACGAAAATAAAGTGCGATAGTAAACATCCGGCTAAAACTAGCGGATTCTAGGTGAACGTAACAAATTTCTCATCATCATGGGCTGACGGTATGGCATTTTGCGCACTTATTCATCGTTTCGCTCCGGACGCATTCGATTTCAATTTGCTGGATCCTGCAAATAGACGTGGCAATTTCGAATTGGCTTTCAAAGTTGCTGAGTTAGTTGTTTTTTGAGAATTTTTTATGGTTTTTCTTTTTTTCCGATGACATTCCGTCGTTTTTAAGATGGCATTAGTTTTTATCATTCCTCACAGGTGTTTCTCATTTTTTGTTTTTCAGTTTCATTTTTCTTGTTCTACGAGAATGAATTTTTGATTCAAATACGAATTGTTTTAACGGTGTTCAGTACAATGCAAAATAACCATTACAAAGCTATTCCTATATTTTGGTTTCATATAACCCATTAATTGTTGTTTTTATGAGGTCACCCGGCTTATCTTACTTACTCTCAGATCCGTTCGTACTAAAATCCAGAAAATTTTTGCATCTGGACATGCTCAATCTAGGGTATGAAGGGATTTTGCTGACCAATAATTGTTTAAAGCTTGTTGAGAGCAAAATCCCATTGGAACCTCATCCATCAGCAACTAATACGCAATCAGAAGAAGATTCATCAACTGATATATGTATGAGAGTTATGTTGATTTCAGAGATCATGGTGTGGTACCGTTATTAGAAGTCGATGATATGTTAATGATGGGTGATCGACCCGACTGGAAGTGTGTCTTCACCTATGTGCAAACGTTTTATAAAGAATTTAAGGATAGACCTTAATTTTATATTATTCGCATATTACTGTATTATATTAATTATGTGTACTTGTGTGTGTGTGTAATCTAATTTGATTCAGTTTCATTTTTGTTGTTGTTGTATGTATTTTACATCACTCTGAACCTCTTTAGCTTTCTTGTCGTTTAGTTTAGAATTATGCATTTTCATCTTGATTTATTAATTATAAATCTTTTGCATTCAATATATCTTGATGCGCGTATCTATTGAATCATTGAAATAACATCCGAAGTGATGAATTCGCAAAATACGTGAGCTGCAGTGAATTCAAAATAGGTAATTCCACTAAAATTTGACTCTGATTAAGTATTTATTTGGTTAGTTCATCCAGTTTCTCGAAAATCTGAAATTTATTCAATTTCTCGAAAAAATNTGTTTGACGCAATGATTCGTTGTGTTCGGATTACGGTAGTACTGTGCCACTGTATGCATAGCGTAAATACAGTAATGTAGCGCACAGTGTATGCACCGCGAACCAATTATGTTCGGCTTTTGAAGTCATTTTATATACATCTCAATTTTGTTCGATTGAAGATTGCTTGAAAGCATCGTTGTATCAATAATTCTAAAAACATCATTTTCATTTGATAATATCTTTTTTTCATATTAATTTCATTGAAGATGTATGAACCATCCATTAATTCTTTTGCCTTCTCGATCGTTATCAATTTTTGTTCATTCGTTTTATATCTGTAGAAGCATTCATTTAATAATTTCGTTCTGATGAAAAACAAAAGTTCTATGAACTTCTTCTTGTTTCGCATTGTCCTTGTTTTCTTCAGTCTACCACTCAAAATGTTGATGCTTTAAGTATTCCACAAAAATTCCCAATGGCTTGTTCGAATAATGGCTGAGATTGATGAACAGTAAAGAACCACAAATGTTGACGTAAATGATTTCTTTCAGTTGTAAAGAAATTTTGATGTTTCTTTTGATGTAATGACAACGAAACTTGTTCATTCGTTTATCGATCAGATAATAAAGTTTTCTGAATGAATTGGTTGTTTGAAATTCGTTCATTCAAGAAATATTTAGTTATTGACTGAGATCAAGCAAAAAATGGCTGATCTCGGCCAATAACTAATTATTTCTTTAGATAAATCAAGATAACAATAATCCAAAAAAAANAAAAAAAACGTGAGATTAATGAGAGGAAATGTTGTTCATTTGTTTATTCAATAACGATAAGTGACGTCCAGAAATCAGTGTCAGAACACGAAAATAGATGATGAAATTGAGTCTTATTCAAGCGAATAAAACGAGAATGAATGCATTTTGAGTGCGAGCACAATCAACTCAAAATGCAGACTCACATTACTAATTTATTTATCAGCCATCCACTAATCAGTTCTGAAATCAGTCACGCCATTGTTGTTGTGTGCATCTATTCAGAGCACTTCCTTTCTGTGTTCATTCAGCCATATTCAACTGACGTCATAGAGCCAGCCATTTGATCACATAAGTTCTAAACTTCATTGAGATCATCCAGTTATTCCAGCCGGACTCTTTTAATTGCGGCCACTGGGGAACGAAGAGAATGTTTCGATGAAACTGTTTTGTAGTCAATACGATTACCTCTCATAAGAAGATTGTAATGACTGGTTGAAATGTAATGAGAACGAAAATTAGTCATAGTTTTACTAAGTTCGATTTTTAATGGCACGTGATTGTTAATGTAGGAAATTGTCTGACAGTTTAGCTAAAGAATTTGATTTATTACAGACGTTATCTGATTTATTACGAAAATC